GAGAGGCACGTCGCGCCCACGAAGCGCGGGCCATTCGGCGTCGTCGCCACCCGGCCGCAGGCCTCCAGCATCGGCGCGCCCTGGTCGCCGGGCCCCACGGCGCGGTGGAGCGCAAACCCCCTGCCAGCAGCCGCGCAGCGGTGTCGCGTGCCCTGCCGCCGCCACCTCCTCGCTGAGCCATCCGTGAAGATGTCCAGAGCGGTCGTCATGCCACCCCCGGCGTGCATCGATGGCTCTCGCGGCGCGTTCCTGATCTCGAGCGCAGTGCGGATCCTCGAGTTGTGATCCTCGCGATGGCCCGCCTGCCACGCGACGGGCTTGCGCGGCGGTTTCTCCACCCCATCCGTCGCCTCATGGTTCGAATGGCCCTCAGCGGTGGCGATCGCGGGCCCTGCGTGGCATCGCAACAGCATGGGCAGGCGGTCGCTCTCTGCGGCGTCGCTGAAGCGCGCCCGGCAGCGCGTCTGGCGAAGCCAGTCGCGGCGGACCACCATCCATGAAGTCTATATGGCGGGCTTCCTTGCGGTTGTGGAAGAAACGCGTCGCCACAGCCTGGCCCCGCCGCCCCATCGAGAAGGCGCGCGCCGCGGCAGGGTCACATTCGGTCACCAGTAGCATAGAAATCATACGCTCTCGCAACTGCTCGGTAGTCTCTGTCAGTTCAGATCTCACGATGCGCGGAAACTGGTGGCGCGCGATCAGTCGAACCTGGCTCCATCCGGGCAGCTGCAAGTCAAGGGCCACGGAGCGACCGTGGAACTCAGGCTTGCCAAGGACGGAGGGTCGAAGAGATTCTGTAACCGCTATCGCGCACCTTTGCCAGGCCCCCGATGGCGGTGGCACGTGCACGACATAGCCGTCGCATGACTACTCAGCTCCACCAGCGACGCACCACTCTTGAAACAGGATGATCCGGGGATCAAACACGCGCGCAAGCTCTTCGAGCGCGCGCTGCCGCTGTCGGGCAAGGACGCCTCTCGCATTTCAACCCAGAACTGCCAGGCCCCTGACATCCTCAGCAGCGCGGCGACCCCGCGCTCGAAACCACTGCACCCGAGGTGGGTCATTGATCTCGCACAGCCTGTCCCTAAGCTTCCTGCCGCGCAGCCCCTGGCCCAGGGGCGCAGTTGCCAGGGGGCCCCGATGTCCGACGCCCGCGAGGGCGTCAGGATGCGGATCGGCATCTCCGCACTGTTCTTCCTGAAAACAACCTGGCCCCTGTCCCAGTCGCCGTCGAAGGTCCTCATCCCGGTCTCCTCCGCGCACAATCCGCTCGCGAGGCCGCGCTCTCTCAGGATGTGAACCGCGAAGCCGACCCTGCTAGATAGCTCCACTTCGCGCGGCCCCTGGCCCACCACGTGCCACAGCTTGTCGTTTCGAGCCCCTGGGCAAGGGACCTGACTTTTCCAGCGCTTCATGAACCCCCGCATCCTCTACTGTCCGCGAAGACGACCTTCGCCTCATCGCCGAACCTGCCCACGACAAAAATCTCCGTAATGCCCTGGCGTTCCAGGGGCACTGACCTTGCCAGAACGGTACGCAGGTCCTTCTCAATCTCTCCCTTGCCCCATGTCCCTGGGAAGCCAGCCACGAACGCGATGCGTCTGGCATTCTTCCCCGCAGCTCGCATCTGTCGAAAGCCTGGTCCAGCAGGTGGCGCGGCTCCTCCGTCGCGTTGGTGCTGCAGGTAGGCGCCCCATGGATCTGGCTGCCCGCTCGCAGCAGAAGCGGACCCTAGGCCTGCTCGCGGTGGTGCTGTCGTACTCGGCGCCGATGAGCGCTCAGCCGCGAGAGCCTCCAGCGTGGCCTCCTGCGCTCTTCGCCGAGCCTGCACCGCTGCGATGTCTTTTGCGCTGGGCTCCGTCGTGCGCCTGAGCGCAGCTACGCCAGACTCTATGCCCTCGATCCTGGTCCCCATGGTGGCGCCGATCGATCCTAGGATGTACTGGGCTAGGTTCAGCTGCGCTGGGTCCGTCGGCGGGAGAGGCGGCGGCTGGGGAGGCCCTCTGACCTCACCTGGAAGCGGGGCCTGAAATGGGCGCCGCGCGCCCTGCTGCCGCCTGCCAATCCTCGCTCGCGAGCCCCATGCCATCGTCGGTCTCCACATCCTCAATAGCTTCACCGTCGAACTTCAGCTGGTCCTGGCCAGCCACTCGACGGCGCTGCTCGCGCTCCCAGGCCAGACCATTTCCAGCTGCTGCGCCTCCCGAGGCAGACGCGGCAACCTTGGGGCGCAGCAGCCGCCATCCCTGCCGCTGCAAAATGCGCGAAGGATGGTTGGATCTTCCAAAAAACTCAACTCGAGCGAGATCGGGAAACAAGAAAAAAAACAAGCCTCAGGCCAGGCAGGGCGATCTAGCCAGGGTGTGCGATCTCCAGCGTTCGCGGGGTGCCGTCTTGAGCCAAAATGGACGACGACGACAACCATGACGATAACCACGACGACGACAAAAACGACGACAACGAAAGCCACGACGATAACCATGACGACGACAACCAGAACGACGACGACGGCGACGACGACGACGACGACGACAACAATCACTACGACAACCACGACAACGACGAAGACGACGACGACGACAACGACGACGACGACGACAACCACGACGAAGACGACGACAACAACAACGACAACCACGACGACGACGAAAACGACGACAACGACGACGGCAATCACGACGACAACCTCGACGACGACGACGACGACGACGACGACGACGACGACGACGACGACCCTTCGCCGGGCGCCGCCGCGCGCGACGCTCTTCGCCGCGCGCGGGCCGCGCGCGGCGCGGGGCCGCGCGCGGCGCACCCCCGCCGCCGCCGCTGCAGGCGCGCTCCGGCAGCGGGCGGGAGCAAGGCAGGCGGGGCTCCCGGAGCAAGGCAGGCAGATGATTAGGAGGAGGAGGAGGAGGAGGAGGAGGAGGAGGAGGAGGAGGATTAGGAGGGGGAGGGAGGAGGAGGAGGAGGAGGATTAGGATTAGGAGGAGGAGGAGGATTAGGAGGAGCGGGGAGGGGGGCGCGGAGGCTCCGAGGGCCGAGAGGGCCGAGAGGGCCGAGAGGGCGGAGGGCCGAGGAGCGAGGACCACGACGACGGCGACGACGACGACGACGACGGCGACGACGACGGCGGCGACGACGACGACGACGACGGCGGCGACGACGACGACGACGGCGGCGACGACGACGACGACGACGACGACGACGACGACGACGACCTCGACGGCGACGACGACGACGACGACGACGACGACGACGACGACGACGGCGGCGACGACGACGACGACGACGACGGCGGCGACGACGACGACGGCGGCGGCGGCGGCGACGACGCCGACGGCGGCGGCGGCGACGACGACGGCGATGACGACGACGATCACCACGACGACGACCGCCACCACGACCATGACCCAGACGGCAACGACGACAACGACGACAACGAGGAACAGGAGGCGGAGAAGGAGGCATAAGAAGAGGCATGCGAGTAATAAGAACAGTAAGAAGATGGTGATGAGGATGATGAAGAAGAGGGCGCCGAGGGAAAATGAGAGAGAGATGAGTCCGTCTCCTCCGCCTCCCCCACCACCTCAGGAGGGGGACAGAGAGAGGAGAAGGAGGAGGAGGAGGTGGATGAGGAGGGGGAGGGGGAAGGAGGAGGAGGGAGGAGGGGGAGGAGGGTCGCGGAAGGAGGCTTACCTGCACAAGGAAATCATCGGAAGCAAAGCGAGCACGTGAAAACCGAGGTGCGAACACCAAACTTATAGCCATCATCGTTCAGGCGGCTGTCGCGTTCCTCAAGAGTGTGCGTTGTCAAACGCACGCGCCAGGAAAAGAACAAATAATGCTGGTTCATACACATGAGGTGATCCTGAGAATGCGAGTAGCAGCATTCACAAAAACAAAACAAATCGTAACATTAACAACGATACCGATCTACGTAATGACAATGCCACTAACATAGATTAAACAAGTGTTACTACTCTGATATTACTCGTATCATTGCTGCTATGTCATTAAGGTGTTACGAGTGCTATATTTGCTGTTCGTACAACATGATAATACGAATACAGATAATACAACTGACTTTACCGGTATCAAGCAAACCATAATAACACGAATGCTAAGAGTGTTCACGATGGCAATGATGAGAAATAAGAAGACATCATCAGAAGAAGGAGAAACGCACCAATAACACTAAATGATATCAATAACACTACAAACAATAATATACTTATGACAACAACAAAAAAACAAATTCAAAAACAAAAACAAAAACAAAAACAACAACAACAACAACAACAACAACAGCAACACCACCACCACCAACAACAACGACGACGACGACGACGACCACGACAACGACAGCAACAACAACAGCAATAAAAACAGCAACAGCAACAGCAACAGCAACAACAACAACAGCAGCAACAACAACAACAATCATAATAATACCAACAACAGCAGCAACAACAACAACAAGTAAGAGGGGTGAGTCGAAGACGGGGGGGACGCCCTCCTCCTCCTCCTCCTCCCCCCTCCTACTCCTCCTCTCCTCCCCCGCCTCCCCCTCCTCAGGCGGAAAATCGCGAGAAGGAGAGAGAGGAGGGAAGAGGGCAAGGTGGAGGAGGAGCAGGAAAGACGAGGGACGAGAAGGAAGGACAAGGAAGAGGAGGACAAGCAGGAGGAGGAGGAGGAGGAGAAGGAGGTGGCGGAGGAGGAGGAGGCGGAAGAGGAGGAGGAGGGGGTGGACGAAGAGGAGGAGGTGGAGGAGGAGGAAGAGGGAGAAGAGGGAGTGGAGAAGGAGGAGGAGGGAGAGAGGGAGGGAGGGGAGGAGGAGGACAAGGAGGATGAGGAGGAGGAGGAGGAGGAGGAGGAGGGGAGGCGGAGGAGGAGGAGGACGGGACGGAGGAGCAGCGGCCAAAGCGGGCAGCTCACCCCCGCCGCCCCGCGGCGGCCGAGCGTGGCCGCGGCGGCGGCGCGCGGCCGCCCCCGCGGCCCGCGGGGGCTGCCGCGGGGGCGCGCCTGGCCGAGCCCGGCCTTCTGGGGCGGCGCGCAAGGCGGAGGAGGAGGCGGAGGAGGGAGGCGGGAGGCGTCCGCCCTCCGCCCTGCTCTCTGCCGTGCCTTCCCAGAGCCCAGGGGCGCCACCGATCCCCAGAGATCCAGCGTCTCGCCTTCTCCCACTCGGGGCCCCCGGAGATCTCGACCCACTCTCCCGGGGACCGGCTGCTCCTCTGGCGTCGCTCTCTGGCGGCCCCAGGGCCCAGCGAGGGCCTCCGGGGGCCGAGAGGCGGCCGCACGCCTCCGCCCGCCCCTCCTCCTCCTCCTCCTCCTCCTCCTTCTCCTCCTCCTCTCCTCCTCCTCCCTCCTCCTCCTCCTCCTCCTCCTCCTCCTCCTCCTCCTCCTTCTCCTCCTCCTCCTCCTCCTCCTTCTCCTCCTCCTCCCCTTCTCCATGCCTGGGATCTCTGGGTCCGCCTCCCCTGTGCTGGCCCGGCCCCTCCTGGGCCCCAGGACGGGTGTCTGCGCACTCGCGGCCTGGCCAGGGAGCCTCCGACACCGGGCCCAGCGATCGGCCCGGCCAGGACCGGCGGGGGCTCTTTGACGCCGCCCGTTCGGGGGTTGCTGAAGGTGCCTCTGGCCCAAGGTGCCCCCAGCTTTTCGCTCGATTTTGGAGCCCCTGGGGCCCTCTTGGCCTCGTGAGGGGTGCTCTGGAGGCCATGTGGGCGGGCCTTCCTGGAAATCATCGGGGCACCTTGGGTCAGGGGCACTTCTAGCAACACCCGACAGGGGGGGAACCTGCTCTGATAGGGAGGGAGGCCAGAAAAGACGTGCGCGCCCACCCCCGTTCATGAACGTGGCCCCCCAGTGCGTGAGGCCAGCCTCGAGTTACGAACGTCAGCGGAATGCGTACTTTCGAAACCAAGATGGGTACATGTACATGTGCGTCATTATTTCGCTCCTCCTCCTCCTCCTCCTCCTCCTCCTCCTCCTCCTCCTCCTCCTCCTCCTTCTCCTCCTCCTCCTCCTCCTCCTCCTCCTCCCCCTTCCTTTTTGTGCAAGAGCCATGGCACACGTGCCACTTGTTTCGCTCCTGAAGGGGGGACGAGCTGGGGTTTGAGGTCCGAGAGCCTCTTCGCTTGGCCTCAGCCTTCAGACTCGGCGTGCCTTCCTGGGCGGCACGCCAGCGAGGGGGAACGTCGGGAAGGGGCGATGCCAGAACGAGCACAAACTCGGGCGAGCTCTGGAGGATGTACCCAGGCATCGGGCGTCTCGAAAAAATCGAGACGGAGGTTTTTCGCTGTTTTCGGCCTCTCGGGGCCCTCGCCGGGCCTCGGGACCGTCAAAAAACGACTCGGGGTGAAGAACCGGTCCTGGGGAAGTGGTCGGGAGGTCGGGAGCCCGTGTCTCGAAAAAATCGAGACTTCGGATGTCTGGGTATCGGGCGCGGCGGCCTTCTCAGAGCGTTCAGGAACGCTCTGCGAGCGTTCCAGAACGCTCTGGAGTGGACTGATCCTTGTCCTAGCCGCGCCGCGCCCGACCGGGGGGGAACTTCAGGGGAGCGAGGAAACACAAAGTATCTCACGCGAGACGACATCATGGCGACCTTGCGCGGCAGCACGCTGCAGCACGTGAGGCGACATGGCGACACGCGGGTCGCCAGCGCAGCACGCTGCAGTGGAAACGAAGGCGCTTACGCGCGACCTTACGCGGGCAGATCACGCACCAATATGACTGTGTTGCAAATGCATTGCGCCAGAAAATTGCATTGCATCCTATTGCAACAAATGCATTGCACGCGAAAACCCAGCAATACACTTGCGCCCTGGAATGTGTTGCACGCCCCAAATCTATGGCAACCCCACAAATCTATTGCACCGAATCTACTGCACCACCCCCTTGTCTCTGGACCCCCTTTTAGGTCAACCCGAAAAGTGTTCCACGCAAGGACAGATGAAGGGAATGAAGGGGGGGAAGGATTTGGGAGAAAGGAGGGAGGGGCACGAATCTTGAACAGAGGCGTGGTTGAACAGGTCGCTTCGGCCTGGCCTGGCCACCTGCCACCCCCCTGTCGCTGGGACCCCCTCTTGGGTCGACCCGATGCCGCGGGCGCTGGTTTCTGACGCCGAGAGGACTGCTCACCCTTGAACGACCGCGGCTCTCCGATACGTCGGCCGACTTGGCGGCCCGCACTAGGGGGTAGGGGGGAGGGGAAGGCTTCCTGGAAGGAGGCTGCTTCCTAGAAGGCGCCGTGCGTCTGTAAGTAAGGCCCACGCCCTCTAAGACGCAGGGGTACTTCTAAGAAACCTTCTCCCCTCCCCCTTCCCCCCCCCCTCTGCGCGTGTCGGGGATCTTCTGACCCGGGTCAATCCAGACCCGGGTCAGTCAGGCCTTGCAGAATCCTGCAGAATCCTGCAAAATCCTGCACCCAAACCCGGGCCAATGCGAAGGATCCCGCAGGATCCTGCGGGATCCTGTACCCAAACCCGGGCCAATGCGACCCTGGCCGTGCAGGATCCTCCAAGATCGGGCGATCTGGCTGACCCCCGTTTGCATGGACCCCCGTCACGAGGCCCCCGAGCGTGGCTGGCCGTTGCTGGGCCACCGGCGGCGCTTCACCCTTGAACGCCCGCGCTGGGGTCGCCGCCGCGCCAGCGCGGCGCAAACCCACCTCGCCCATCTCGATCGCACAAACCCAGCCGGCCGCGGGCAGGAATCCCCCCTGTCTGATGGAGGGCCCGCCCCCGCCCCCTCCCCCCCCTCTCCTCCTCCTCCTCCTCCTCCTCCTCCTCCTCCTCCTCCTCCTCCTCTTCTTCCGTCTTCTTCTTCTTCTTCTTCTTCTTCTTCTTCTTCTTCTCTTCTTCTTCTTCTTCTTCTTCTTTCTTCTTCTTCTTCTTCTTCTCCTCTCCTCCTCCTCCTCCTCCTCCTCTCCCCTCCTCCCCTCCCCCTCCTCCTCCTCCGCCTCCTCCGCCTCCTCCTCCTCCTCCCCTCCTCCTCCTCCTCCTCCTCCTCCTCCTCCTCCTCCTCCTCCTGCCTCCTCCTCCTCATCCTCCTCCTCCCCTCCTCCTCCTCCTCCTCTCCCTCCTCCCCTCCCTCCTCCTCCTCCTCCTTCCTCCTCCTCCTCCCCTCCACTCCTCCTCCTCCTCCTCCTCCTCCTCCTCCTCCTCCTCCTCCTCCTCCTCCTCCTCCTCCTCTCCTCTCCCCTCCTCCGCCTCCTCTCCTCTCTCCTCCTCCTCCTGCCTCCTCCTCCTCCTCCTCCTCCTATCCTCCTCCTCCTCCTCCTCCTCCTCCTCCTCCTACTCCTCCTCCTCCTCCGCTCGTCCCTCCTCCTCCTCCCTCCGCCTCTCCTCCTCCTCGCCTCCTCCTCCTCCTCCCTCCTCCTCCTCCTCCTCCTCCTCCGTCCGCCTCCTACTCCTCCTCCTCCTCCTCCTCCTCCTCCTCCTCTCCTCCGTCCTCCTCCTCCTCACTCCCCTCCTCCTCCTCCTCCTCCTCCTCCTCCTCCTCCTCCTCCTCCTCCTCCTCTCCTCTCTCCTCCTCCCCCCCCCCCCTCCTCTCCTCCGCCTACTCCTCCTCCTCCTCCTCCCTCCTCATCCCTCCTCCTCCCCTCCTCCTCCTCCTCCTCCCTCCGTCCTCCTCCTCCTCCTCCTCCTCCTCCTCTACTCCTCCCCCTCCCCCTCCTCCTCCTTCCTCCTCCTCCTCCTCCCTCCTCTCCTCCTCCTCCTCCTCCTCCTCCCCCTCCTCCTCCTCAAGTTCCTCCTCCTCCTCCTCCTCCTCCTCCTCCTCCTGCTCTCCATGTCCTCCTCTCCGCAGCCATTTTGGCTAAAGGCCAAATGGCGATTTCATCACTGCCTCAGAGGGGCAGGCTCCCATCCTGAGTATCCGTTTTCTTGCAGCATCCACAAGGGCGAGCTGCCGCCCGACTCCATTTCGTCTCGACCTGCCCCGAGGGCCATCAGATGGCGGGCGGTGGGCCGCGCGCCAAAGAGGCCGTGCGCCAGGACTGGACCTGCAAGACCTGCGTCAGCAAGCGCGGGCGTGCGGTGGTCAACTGGGGGACGGCGCTCAAGTGCCAGGCGTGCAGGCTGCCCAAGCACGCGTGCTTCGGGGCGAATGTGCCACTGCCCCTGCCTGGCAAGGCGACGAGGCAGCCTGCGGCGGAGAGCGGCAAGGCCCCGCCATGGGCTGGAGGCCCCCCGCTCGCGGTGCAGCTGGCGCAGGCGCAATGGGAGCTCCAGGAGCTCAGGAATCAGCTCAAGGGCGGCAGCGGCGCTGGCGGCGGGGGTCCGCAGCTCGCGGGGGCCCAGGACATGGTGGTCGACGACGGCGCCGCCGCCAGCGCGGACGACGCGGCCCTGGCCGCAGAGATCAACGAGTGCGAGGCGGGCCTCCAGGCGCTCAAGGATGTGGCAGCGGACTGGGCCAAGACGCCGCGCGACGAGCTGCGCGCCAGGCTCGAGAAGGCGAAGGCCAAGATGCTAGCAATCGCTCCACGCCAGGACGCACGCCATCGCCAACAAGGCCAAGCAGTGCGCCGAGCGGATGGACAAGGCGGACGGCGCGATGCGCAAGGCCAAGGCGGCACTTCAGAGGGCGCAGGAGGCGCTGCACACGGAGCAGGCCCATGCCGAGCTCCTCGCGCTGCAGGCGGCGCTGCAGCCGGAGCTGGCTGCGCTCCACCAGCAGGCCCCGCAGGTGCCGCCTCCCCGAGCGGCTGGCCAGGCCACGGCGTCGGATGTCATCGGCGGGCCTGGCATAGCGGTCGGGGAGTTGGAGGCCATCATGCGGGCGCAACTGGCCGAGCACCCTGGCGACGAGCAGCCTGTCCCAGCAGAGGCGCGGAAGCGGATGGCAGGCGCGCTGGGCGAGCGGCTCGCCGAGCTCCAGCGGCGCGCGGGGCCCGCCGCCGAGGCGGCCGCGGGCGAGGGGCACGGGGCCGCGGACGGCAGAGCGGGCGGCGGCCCTTCGCCCGCCGCCGCCGCCCAGCAGTCGGCAGCTGCGACTGCTGGCGCGGAGGATGCGAGGCCGCGGCAGCCCCGCCAGGAGTCCCTGGAGCAGCTCCAGCTGCACCTGCAGAAGATCGGACTGGAGCACAAGGGCGACGAGGAGGCTGTGCGAGCCCGCTGCGCCGCGTTGGCTCGCGGCGGCCCCCAGCCTCATCACGGCGCCGCTGGTCCTCAGCGCGTGGTTCCCGACCATGGCGAGGGGCATCCTCGTCGCATGATTGTCGCGGCGGGTGTTTCCATGGCGCCGTGCTTTAAGGGGTTGCGCCAGCACTCCGACGCCGCGGTGCTGCTGGTCCAGGAGCACAACGCCAAGGACCACGACAGGCTGGCCACCTTGCAGCACGCCACGCTGGACCACGGCGACGCGGGCGCGCGGGCCGCGGCCGCCGCGGCCGCCCGCGGGAGCGACGTCGCCTCTGGCGGGGCGGCGGCCTGGGCGCGGACCCACGTCGTCGTCGCCGACCCTCCGTTCCTGGACATCCCTGTCCTGGCTGAGGCGCGCCCAGTGGCGGCCCACGTGCGCTGGGGCGTTGCAGGGGGCCCGGTCGCGATCTCGGCGTACTTGCGCGAGGGCGTCGGCTGGAACGAGAAGAACCAGCGGCTCGGGATGATCCTCGTGCGCTGCCTGGCCAGGCTCAACGCGGCGGGGCTGGACTGGGTGGTGGGCGGCGACTTCAACATGTCGGCGGAGACATTCCCCATGCAGCTGGTCCACGACGTGAGAGGACTGCGGGCGGCGCCCGACACGGCTACCTGCAGGCCGCGGGCCAGTGCGTGGTCCACCATCGGCTACTTCCTGTGCGCAGCCAACCTGGCGCCGCGGCCGGGCAAGCCGCAGGTGCTCGAGGTGGGCACGCAGCACCGCCTCTCCCTGCGGCGGTCACGGCGCAGGCCCGGGACCCCCCATGAAGGTCCGCGCGGCCCGGGGTCCGATGCCCATCGGGCCCGTCCCGACGATCGGCTGTAGCCGCGGGGTGGGGGACTGGCGGCGGCCGCTGGCCACGCTGCGCGCCGTCGCGAGCGCCGCGCAGCTGCCTGTGGCCTGGGACGCGGTGGTTGAGGCCATTGACCAAGAGCTGCTGGGCGGCCGCAACCACGCGGGGGCGGGCAGGGCCAAGTACGTCGGGAGGTCAGGCGCTCTGGAGACGGCCCTCGTCACCGTCGCGCGGGGATCCCCTCGTCGCCGCACCCAGCTTGGGCGGCGCGCGTTGGCGTGTCGCGCCGCGTCGAGGCGGGCTCGCCACGCGATGGGGGTCGGGGCGCATGTCGCCAATGCGCTCCGTCAACTCCACGGGGCCGGCTTGCTGTGCACAATCGACGCCAGACAGCACGACAAGTTGGCGGCGTTCCTGCTCGAGGCGGGCGCCTACATGCGGAAGATCGCAGTGCAGCACCGCGGCATCGCCCTGCTGCCGCACTGGATTCAGGACTTCTTCCAGTAGCAGCTGCTCGTCCTCAAGTCGGAGGGCTTCGTGGAGCAGGCTGCCCGCGTAGTGGAGCAAGCCAGCGGCCAGCACGAGGAGGCGCTCAAGCGGCAGCAGCAGGCCTGGGCGAAGTGGGCGGACGACGCCTTCAGCCGCGGTGCGGGCCAGGCACACCGTGGATCCAAGGTGAGGGACTTGCAGGAGGTCGTCTCCGTCTGGCACGGCGAGCAGCAGGAGGCAAGCCCCCCACCGCGTGCGCAACCGCGAGATGAAGCCGTGGGAGAAGGCGCGGCAGTGCCATGGATTGCAGCCGATGAGCAGGCCAGTGGACATCGGCGAGTGGGAGCCTTTGCCCGAGCTCACGGTTGAGCAGCTGAGGCAGGCGGCACACTCCTTTCCCTGCAGCACCGCCATCGCGCCCGCCAAGATCGGCATGCAGGCCTCAGCTTCCTGTCAGACGAGGGCATGTACGTGTGCGCGCAGCTGTTCATGTGCATGGAAAGGATCGGAGCCTGGCCTGAGGGTCGCCTCTGGCACGCCATGTGTCGGCTGCCAAAGCCTTCGGGCGGATGCCGACTCATCACCCTCATGCATTCCATGGTGAGGTGGTGGTCGCGGGCGCGCGCAGAGGCGTCCAGGGGCTGGCTGCGGCAGCACCCCAGCGCAGCGTGGACATCTGGGGGCTCGGCGCTGGCAGGTCATCCTCTGAAGCGGCGTTCGCCTTGAACCTGGAGACGGAGGTCGCGGTCAACCTCCAGGAACAGGTGATCACGGTCCCCATGGACGCCCGAAAGTTCTTCGAGACCGTGGTCCCTGCTGCCCTGCCCCAGGAGGCTCGACAGCCGCGCATGCCGCTGCCCCTCGCCCGGCTTCTCCTCGAGCTGTGCCGCCAGCCGGTGAGGCTGCAGGCGTTCGGATCTGTCTCCTACGATGTGGTCTCGAGCAAAAGGGGGGTTGGCGGGATGCGCGCATGCGCGCGATCTGGCGTCCGTGCTGCTGCGCCGCCTGCTGGAGCGGATCCGCGGCATGGGGGTCGCGCCGAGGGCGCCGGTGGACGACGTCACACTGCAGCGGGTCGGCGAGGCGGCCTGCAACAACCAGCCGCTGTGGGCCGCCGTCACCCACTCCGGTGAGGAGGCCAAGGGGCGCTGGGGACCATCGCGCAGCCAGCCAGCTCTGGCTCCCTGACGTCCTCGTCATGCCTCGCGCGCGACAGCAAGCGGCACGCGGGCTCGAGGGGCTTGCAGCGGCTGCGCTGGGCGCGGAACCTGGACCGCGATCCCGGAGGCCGCGGGACCGAGCGGCGGCAGACCAAGCTCCGCCCGCAGGCGCTGGCGCGGCGCCGCGGGCGGCTGGCTGCGCCGAAGCGCGCAGCAGGCCGCCAGGCGGCCTTCCTGCGGCGCACGGCGCTGCTCCCCAGCGCGGGCCACGGAGCGGGGGCCACAGGGATCATGGGCGACGAGTTGCGGCGACCGTGGGCGGAGGCCAATCGGCTTGCGGGCGCGCGCCCAGGCCCTGCGGGTCCATGATCCACTTGGCTACCCAGCGCTGCGCCACTTACGACCCACCTACCAAGCGACGATGGCGCGCGTGGCCAAGTATGCGAGCTGGATCTGGGAGCAGCGCACCTCCCCGGGACGGCCTCTGCGGGCGCGGGCCATCATCATGGAGAAGATGATTGAGCGACCGTCGCGGGCGTCGGCCAGGGGATCGATTTCTTCCACGACTCTCACGCTATGGAGGATCGGCTGGCGCACGTGGTCCAGCACGGCACTGGTCGCGGACGAGGAGCAGCATGTCCAATTACTCACGACATCGCCGTCGGACCTCAAGGCCTTCCTGTTCGCGGGGGTGGGCCGTTGGCAGGGCCGACGGATCATGGGGCATTTCGCGGAGATGCAGCCGCTAGGGCCGCTCTGGCTCCGAGCGCTGCGCCTCTGCGCTGGCATCAAGGGCGCGGAGCGTCCCGATGGCCCTGCCGCCACCAGCTTGAGGGTTCACTGGGCAGGCACGCCGTGAACCAGGCAGCGGCTCCACGAGGTGCGCCTCGCGGACTCGGCGACGCGCCTGGCCTGTGGCGAGGAGGACGACACCCCTGGACACAGGCACTACGGGTGCGAGGCTCTGCTCCTGGCGCAGCACGGCGAAGAGGAGCAGTCCGTCTTGCCAGGGAGGCCCCAGGAGGTCTGGGCGAGCATGCGCGACGAGGGCTCGCAGCTGGGGCAGAGGCTTCGAGCGCGAGGTCGGGCCCCCAGTCGCGCCGCCGCGCGCGCCGCCAGCGTCGCACGACGCCGACGCCAGGCTGCGGGGCGACTGGCTGGGGCGAGCGGCGCGGGGACATCGCGCTCACAGACGGCTCTGGGCTCGCCAGCAGCATGCCCGAGCTGAGGCGCCGCGGGTGGCCGCTGGCGCAGTTGGGGGCCAATGCTGCCCCAGTGCGCGCGGCCTTCGGGGCGCTGCCTGGCCCGCTCCAGACCGCGGGGCGCGCCGAGCGGGGCGCGCTCCTGCGGGCAGCGCAGCTCCTCGTGTCGCAGGTGAAGTTCGTCGCCGCGAACCTGCTGGCGCTGGCGCGAGAGGCGGGCTCCCAGGGCGAGGGGCTCGAGCAGGCGGGCGCCGCGCACACCGCGGCGCGGAGGCGCCTGCGCCGCCGGCCAACTCGCCCCAACGCGTTCTGGATCCCAGCCCACAAGGACGTCCAGGGCCACCTGGAGTTGGGCCTCCACCCAATACTCGTAACACGTGGGCGGACTGGTTCGCCACGCAAGGGGCGAGGCAGCACGCTGTGGCCCAGGTCTACGTGGACGTCTGCGGGATCGAGGCGCAACACCATAAGGAGGTTGCGGCCTGCATCGGGTGGGCCACGCAGCGCTGCCTCCAGCTCGGCGAGCGGCAGCAGCCACCTGCAGGACCAGCTCCACGCGCGACGGCGGTGGAGCACGCGTTGGTCGACGTGGGTGGCCGCCGCGGGCTGCTAGGCAGGGGGCGCGGCCGGCGCTCACGGGCGCGGCCTGGCGCGGCGCTGCAACAGCCCCTCAGGGCGGCATGCGAGCCGTCGAGGCTGGCGCGCATCAAGTCAGGAGCCGAGATCCTCCACCTCGGGGCCCGGGCGCGGCCTGGCGCGGAGGCGGGGGCTCGGGCGGTCGCGGCGCCGCGGGAGGCCGAGGGCGACGGGGGCGACCCGCCGCTTGAGAGCGGCAGACCGTGGCACGACACCGAGGAGGATGTGCTGGCTCATGAGGACCATCGGCTGCGGCGTGCCGGACCCGCAGTCTTCTGCGAGGTATGCGCGGCATGGATGCAGACGCGCGCTGGTCGTGGTCTGCAGCGCCCCTGCCAGGGCCCGCCGCGGAACAGGGCTCACTGCGCCCGCACTTATGTCTCCAACCTGGGCGCCAGGCGGGACAAGCTGTTGAGGTCGCTGGATACCAAAGCTGGCAGGCCGTTCGGGGGCGCAGGCGGCCCCGGGGCGCGTCGACCGACGGCGGGCCTCAGCGAGGTGGGCTGCAGACTCGCGGGCGTCTACCGCGCGGCGGTCGCCCTAGAACTGGCAATGCGCCGAGGGCGCTGATAAGCGAGGCGGGGGCGAGGGCGCGCTGGGGGCGCTGCCATGCGCTGGGCACCCGCCGCCACAGGCGCCGCGTCGGCCGTCGGCCTCGGCGCGCGCGCGCGAGGCTAGCAGGCTGCTGGCGGCGGCAGCCGCGCGCGTGGCCAGCCAGCCCAGTGCCAGCGGCAGCGCGGCGCAGGCACGGACGGCGGGGGCTGCAGGTCGATCCACGGGGGAGATCGGCACAACCTCGCGCGAACCGCTGATCGCAAAGCGGCTCTCGCCAAACCCCCCGCCGTCACGGAGCATCAACGGGCCGCTGGAGCTGGGCGGCATCGCGGGGGCCGGGGACGCGGCTGAGCAACGCGGGGGCGCGGGTGTGCTGGAGGCGATGTCTAGCGCCGGGCACCCGCCGCCACAGGCGCCGCCTCGGCCGCCAGCCTCGGGGCACGCGTGCGAGGCCAGCAGGCTGCTGGCGGCGGCAGCCGCGCGCGCGGCAGCCGCGCGCAGCAGCGGAGCGGCCTCGCGGCCTCCCGCGGCGGGCGCGCCTCGCGCAGCTGCGGCAGCGCATCGAGGAGCGCGATGCCAGCCGCGGCACGCCCATCCGCGCCGCGCGGCGCGTGGATGCCCGGCGGTAGGGCAGGCCGAGGCCTCGGCCCGCGGCGCGCTTCGCCATCTGCAGCCGCAGGCCCGCAGAGGTGGTGGCCAAAAGGCAACCCAGGGAGCCGCTGCCGCGGGGTCCTCCCAGGCCCACTGCCACGGCGTGCAGGCTCGCGAGGTGGGCGCGCTGGTGGATTGCGGCCACCCTCACGGAGGCGCAGCTGGCGGACGACTGGCGACTGCACTGCGTGCCGTACGTCGAGGCCGCCCTGGGCCAGCCGCGGCGGCGTGCGCTCGCGCGCGTCATGGGTCGCACCGCAAAGCAGCTGGCCCGCGACATGTGCGACAGGGCATGGGCGCGCGGCGGGGTCGACCGCAGGGCGTTCATGCGGTACCGCCGCGGCCTGTCGTTCTCCCAGGCGTGGATCGCCGACTCCATGCGGAGGCACGAGACGGAGGCCCTCCGTCGGTGGCTGGCCGACCCTGGGCGACCTCCTGGCGCGCCAAGGGTTGGCTGGGCGCCTGGCGAGCGCAGGCGGCCACGGGCGCAGGGCGCTGGCGTGGCCGCCGTGGGCTCGGGCTCCAGCGGCCAGCGGGACGGCGACCCTGCGGGGGAGGCGGCCGCTGGCCAGCCTCGCGCCGCTGGCGCAGCGGCGAGGCCGCCCACGGGCGCGGAGGTGCCCAGCAGCAAGGAGGAGGCGGCTGGGTTCATCCCGCAGGGTTCGCCGCCACAGCCGAGCCCCTCGCCCCCGCTCAGCGGCGAGGAGGGCTAGGCGGCGGCGCCCACGGCTGCGGCGCGGCCCACCCCGCCTTGGGCGGGCGGCGCCGAAGAGCAGGCGGCGGAACGGCATGGTGTCGTTGGGCCTGAACTTCGCCCTCTTTTGAGGGCCCGCGGAGCGCTTTTCGCGAGACGGACGGCGTCCCCACGCCCCTGTACTCCTGTACTCCTCCTCCTCCTCCTCCTCCTCCTCCTCCTCCTCCTCTCATCCTCCTCCTCCTCCTCCTCCTCCTCCTCCTCCTCCTCCTCCTCCTCCTCCTCCTCCTCCTCCTCCTCCTCCTCCTCCTCCTCCTCCTCCTCTTCCTCGTCCTCGTCCTCGTCCTCGTCCTCTTCTTCTTCTTCGGGAATGCACCGCGATTTCCTCAAAACAGGCACGGCGAACGAACGCGGCAACATTTGAATCCGGAAGAGTCAATGAGCACCCTGCTCATCAGGCCAAGCACTGTAACCTTGCGGCAAACGCCCCGCCTGCCAAAGCCATGATCGTGCGACCACCCCCCCCAGTCCCCTCGACTCTTGGGCTCGCGCGGCCTTGTGAGCTTCTGTACTTCGACGGGGCCATCAACCTTCTTGGAACGGGCCCCGCGCGAGCCGCAGACTTCACACCAAAACACACCCCTCGTCACTCGGACGCGCTGCGAGGCGTGAGACGAGCACGGGCGGCCTCGGCACCCCCCCCTTTTCCAACCACCCCAGCACGTCGTTCACCCCCAGGACGCGACCCACACTCCCCGCACCTCCACCCCACGCGGCAGTCCTTGGGGACGGCGTGGGAGTTGGCGGCACGGGCCTCGTCCACCAGGTCGGCCAGCTGCCTCCTTCTCTCCTCGCCCTCCGCTGCGCGGGCCGCGCGGGTGGGAGGGCCGTAGAGGCTTTTGGCCTCGACAGCAACCTGATGGGCGACGGCTGGGGCCTCCTCTGCTCCAGCGCGGGCCCCCTCCAGGAGCTCCATCTGGGCCCCTGGGAGATCAGCATTCTTCGGGTACTCCCACATTTGGTGAAACAGCGCTTCTTCAGCTGCGCCTCACAGAGGACATACGAGGGTCTTGATGGTCGGGAAAGCTGTAAGTGAGACCTCGGGGTCAGGGCCAGGGAAATCGGACTTTCGCAGAGTTGGCAAAACTCGTCCTCCATGGCGGCCTGATCCATTATGTGATCGAAATCATCCGGCGACGGGGGCGCAAAAAAGAGCAGCGGAGGCTGGAGGCCTCGGGGGAGGAGGTCGGGGGTTGGCCACTTGCTCAATGGCCACGCCGCCAGCTTGGAGTTCGCTGGACTCCTGGTCCCCCGGTTGCCCCCCAGAAGCCCTGGCCTCCACCTCCCTCCTCCTCCTCCTCCTCCTCCTCCTCCTCCTCCTCCTCCTCCTCCTCCTCCTCCTCCCCCTCCTCCTCCTCCTCCCTCCTCCTCCCCTCCTCCTCCTCCTCCCTCCTGCTCCTCCTCCTCCTCCTCCTCCTCCTCCTCTCCTCCTCCTCCTCCTCCTCCTCCTCCTCCTCCTCCTCCTCCTCCCCCTCCCCCTCCCTTGTGCGCGCCCGCCGGGCCTGGCCGAGCTGGGCCTCCGCGCGGGCGGCGCGGGGGCCTTCACCGGCAGCGCGAAGAGGTGCGGCACGTCGCAGACCTCGGGGGCGCCCGCGGGGGCGCGGGCGTCCAAGATGGGGAGGGGGGGGGGGGGCAACTCGTGGCCCGAGGCACGTGCGCGCGGCCCCGGGGGGGGGGGGCGGGGCCGGGAGACGCATGGAAGGGGAGGCGCATGGAAGGGCGAAGAGAAGGGGGAGGGGGAGGAGGAGGAGGAGGAGGAGGAGGAGGAGGAGGAGAGGAGGAGGAGGAGGAGGAGGAGGAGGAGGAGGAGGAGGAGGGGGAGGAGGAGGGGAGGAGAGGAGGAGGAGGAGGAGGAGGAGGAGGAGTGAGGAGGAGGAGGAGGAGGAGGAGGAGGAGGTATCATGGCCCCAGCCACGAGATCCACGCCCCCGAGTCATCACCCCGCACTGGGCCGCCCGAGGACCAGGCGGCGCTTCTCGGACCGGGCACGGCCCAGGTTGCGCACCACGACCTGCGCCCGCGGGTGGTCCTTCGGGGGGGCCCCAAACGGTGCGGTGGCCACACCGCGTGGCGAGTCGGTGGGAAATCGGAATCACCGCACGCTTCTGGGACTCGAGGTCGTTCTTCGAGGACGTCGCGGGCGACAGGGGCTTCCGAGGTCCTAAAAGCCGTGCGGTGACGGACCACGCGGTGAGGTGGGATTCTGAGGTCACCGCGCGGTCCGTCACCGCACGGTTTTGGGACCCCTGAGTCCTCTGGAGAGGCCGCCCGAACGGGCGCCGGAGTTGATGGCGGGATGAGTCAGAGCATCGCAGCGGAAGTCGGATCGGATCGGCACGTGCTTCGACTCGGCCCGCGTCTGCACGGAGTCGGAGTCGGATCGGATCGGCGGCGTCAGGGTGCACGACAGCGCCATGAAAGCACCGGTCGGGGAGACGTAAGGCTCGGGTACGGGGGACTCGGGTTGGCCTGACGGGGGCCGTCATGAAAACGACGAGACCCAATCTGACATCTGACGCGAGCTCCCGCTGCAGAGGCATCCCACGAAAACTGGACCGGCAACATCCAGGACGCGCTCGTCAAAAAAATTCAACCCGAGTTCCGGCTTACTCGAGTCTTACGTTTCCCCGAACCGGGCCGCATCGGATCGTCGGAATCGGCCAGCCCCCATGGGGGCCAACCGGCTGCGAGGCGGAGGTGTTCCCGTTCCCTGCAACAGGTCCAGCTCCCAAGTTATCACTGTAGATGCTAGCTAGATTAGGTCCCGAGTTACGAGTCTAGATGTTAGATGATCTAGCTACAATGCTGCAACGACTGGAATCCGCGCGAGCGGGGGGGTCGAAAGCCGCCCCACTCTCCTCCAAGAATCGAGCTGCCGCCCGAATTCCAAAAGGGCGCGGGGGCACGCAGACATGCAGCAGGGGCTCGCACCCACAAGGCCACAGTCCCTCGTACACCAAAACGAGGTGGATGCTTCTGAAGGGGCCCAGGGACACACAAATGAATATTTACACAAATCACAGGATTCCCCACAGTTCCCCATGCTTCCTGGGTTTTTGTCTTCCCCCCCCACTTTCCATAGTTCCCCATATTCTCCTGGGAAGCGCGATGAATTGTGCCTGTGTGTTTTTCCCCCTCCTGAGAGTAGTCCCAGCTGGCCTCGAGGAGCCCCCCGAAGCCCGAGGTGATCTCGACACCCCGGCGCCGCCTCCGGGGGCGCCCCTGGGGCGTCTCGCGCCCCGGGGCTGAGCTGATGTCGGGCGCCTCCCCCATACAGGGGGATCTTCGACGAAACATCAAAAACTTCAACGCCTAGGAATCGACGACTCATTGTGCCTGTGTCTGTTTTCCCCCTCCTGCGTGTCAACGCCGGCCCCACGGGCTGGCCCTGCGGAGCGGCGCGGGCGGGGCAGCGGCCGAGCGAGCGAACCGGCGGACGCGGCGTGGCGAGGCCGGCAGGGCCGCGAGGCCGCCGGGGGCCCCGCAGGCCACCATGCGGAAGACTTCTCGTGGGCTGCCCTGAGGAGGAGGAGGAGGAGGAGGAGGAGGAGGAGGAGGAGGAGGAGGAGGAGGAGGAGGAGGAGGAGGAGGAGGAGGAGGGGAGGAGGGAGGAGGAGGGAGGAGGAGGAGGAGGAGGAGGGAGGAGGAGGAGGAGGAGGGGGGAAGGAGGAGGAGGAGGAGGGGGGAAGGAGGAGGAGGAGGAGGAGGAGGAGGACGGGCGACGGCCATCCTGCGTTGGACCGCCCCGGCAGCGCCCTCCACCTCCAGGATCGGAGCAGGGGCCGACCGTCCCGGCAGTCCTGTAGTCCTACCACGAAATAATCTTAGAGCCCAAAGATGTTCTAAGAACAGAAACAGTGTTCTTAGAACATAAGCCCGAGGTGGTAAAACAAGACAGACTCCGCCAGAAATGTTGTAAGAACATTTCGTGGGAGCCACAAAAGGTTCTTAGAACATGGTTTGGTGGGGCTGTAGGCGAGCCAGGACGCTTCGCCACTGCTCGAAGGATCACGCCCTCTATCTCGCGCAAGAGTCCACACCCAGCCTGGCGAGGTGCAGGGTCGTCCACCAGGGCCGCCGCGCGCGACCCCATCGCCAGAATGCGTCCGCAGAGCTGGGCGAGCCGCCCCTGGCGATGCGGGCCCGCGCCCAGCAGCACCAGAAGGACTCGTCGACGCCCGGCGGGCTCCAAGAGAGAGCCGGTCGAACGCGAGCCCGAGACCCTGCTCTGCACAGCTGCGGGGGCCGCGCGCGAGCCGACGGCGGCTGGAAGCGCACAGCCACGGCTGCGCCCCCGAGGTCGCAATCCGTGGTAGACCACTGCAGTGACGAAGGATCAACACGCCCCCATGCCCGCAGGGGGGGACGGAATGAGCTGTGGGTGCGTGTTGTCAGATGGGGGGTCCCCGCTCGAAGGGGAGCCTCCCGAGGAGTCCGACCACCCGCACCCATACCCACAGCCAGCCCTTCTCCCTCCGACTTCCCGATGGGTATGGATGTGTGTGTGCTGTTCGCTCGTCATCTAGACTCGCGCTTCCGGCGCCACAACTCCTCCGGCCCCGATCCCCAGGGCCCGCGCCCACGCCGCCGAGGCGCGCCGGCGGCACGCGCAGAGGGCCCACGCGGGCGGGGGGGGCCTCTCTCCCCTGGAGGGTAAGACGGAGCCAGGACGACGATAAGATCGGATGGGGACCAATCGAGAACCTCTGATCTGAGATCCCGCGGCTCTGGAGGACATCTCGGGCGCCGCGGCCTTCTCGGAGCGTTCCGGGACGCTCTGAGAGCGTTCCGGGGCGCCCTGGAACGGAGTTGGCCTAGTCCTATACCCCCGCCCGACAGGGTCCAGTGCGGGGTCCTCCCCCGCCAGCTCCCGCATCACCTCGGCAGCGATCTCGAGGTACACCGAGCTCTCGTAGGGGCGGCCGAGCGCGTGCAGGCAGCAGGCCAGGTTGTTGTACGCCGTGGCCGTCTCGAGCGTGTCTGGCCCCAGGCTCTGCTCGCGGATGGAGCGGGCGCGCAAGGCCGCGCGGGCCTGGGGGAAGGAGAAATTGCATACGGCAGGCTCGTGTCGTGCCAACTTCGGCGTTGGTTTCTGACACCGCGGGGAGCATTCAGCCTTGAACGATTGGCCGTTTCCGACACGTCAGATCGTTCAACATCGAACCATTCTGGCTCGCCGGCGGCGTTCAACATTGAACGCCCGCGGCGGGGTCGCCGCCGGTCGACACGACGCGAACCTACTGTAAGCATAAACTTTTGGAGATCCGCGCGGTGTTCTTGCATCGGCGCCGAGCCCTTCTCGCTGGCGCGCGGAGCGCGCCAGGGGCGGCGCCGTAGGCGCCGTCAGGGGGCCAGCACAGACGCACAAGAAATCCGCGCGGAGCCCCAAAAGTCTGTGCTTGCTGGAGGCGGCCAGGGGAGCTGAACTCGATGGAGGCCCAAGAACAAACCCAAAGCCGCCCAAAATCGTTTCCCGGGCCCCTCCCAGGGTCCATCTCCTGCAATTTATCACCATGGATCCATTTCTCACGGTCCCGGGTGCCCGAAAACAGCCCCTTGCGACCGAAAAAAAATTAGCCTGGCGAAGGACCCAACCTCCTGCAGTTGTAAGTCCCTCTTGGACCAGGAAGCGTGTGAGGGGTGTGCGAAAATGGGAGCGGCGGGCGCATGCGAGCGCAGCCACTGGGGCCTTCGGCGGAGCTCCCTATGGGGCCACGAAGCGTGCGAGGGGTGTGCCGAAATGGGCGCGGCGGGCGCATGCGAACGCTGGCATTTGGGCCTCCGGTGGGGCTCCCTATGGGGCCACGAAACGTGTGAGGGGTGTGCCGAAATGGGTGCGGCGGGCGCGTGCGATCGCAACCACTGGGGCCTTCAGTGGAGCCCCCTACGGGACCGCAAAACGTGTGAGGAGTGTGCCGAAATGAATGCGGCGGGCGCATGCGAACGCAGCCAATAAGGCCTTCGGGGGAGCTCCCACCGGGCCCACGAAACGTGTGAGGGGTGTGCCGCAATGGGCGCGGCGGGCGCATGCGAACGCAGCCACTGGGGCCTTCAGTGGGGCTCCCTATGGGGCCAAGAAGCGTGTGAGGAATGTGCCGCAATGGGTGCGGCGGGCGCATGCAAACGCAGCATCTTGGGCCTCCGGAGGGGCTCCCTATGGGGCCACCAACGTGAGAGGGGTGTGCCGAAATGGGTGCGGCGGGCGCATGCGAACGCAGCCAATAGGGCCTTCGGGGGAGCACCCACCGGGCCCACGAAACGTGTGAGGGGCTCATGCGAACGCAGCCTCTGGGGCCTTCGGTTGAGCCCCCATACAGGGCCACGAAACGTGTGAGGGGTGTGCAAAAATGGGCGCGGCGGGCGCGTGCGATCGCAGCCACTGGGGCCTTCAGTGGAGCCCCTTTATGGGGCAACGAACCGTGTGAGGGGTGCGCCGAAATGGGTGCGGCGGGCGCATGCGAGCGCTGGCATTTGGGCCTCCGGTGGGGCTCCCTATGGGGCCACGAAGCGTGTAAGGGGTGTGCCGAAATGGGTGCGGCGGGCGCATGCGAACGCTGACACTTGGGCCTTCGGGGGAGCTCCGTACGGGGCCACGAAACGTGTGAGGGGTGCTGAAACGGGTGATGATGATGATGCTGCTGCTGCTGCTGATGATGGTGGTGGTGGTGGTGGTGATGATGATGATGATGATGATGGTGGTGATTATGCTGATGATGATGATGATGATGATTATGATGATGATGATAAAGATAAAGATGATGATGATGATGATGATGATGATGATGATGATGATGATGATGATGATGATGATGATGATGATGATGATGATGATGATGATGATGATGATGATGATGATGATGATGTGATGATGTGATGGTGATGGTGATGGTGATGGTGATGGTGATGGTGATGATAATGATGGGTGAGAGGAGGAGGGAGGGGGCAGCGGGATGAGGAGGAGTGAACGCGGGGACCGTCTCTTCAAAACGAGGACCCATAACCACAAAACGGTTGGGAAAAAACATCCTCGAACCGCGTTTTGTTCTCCCTCGACCCCTTGCGACCGAAAGAACAAAACAAACATCCTCGAACCGCGTTTCGTTCTCCCCCGAGGGCCGCCGCGTTGCGGTGCCCAAGAGGGGGGCGTCCCAGGGTGTCCGAGAGGGGGGGGGTCCAGGATCGTGGCCCGAGGCATGTGCACGGCCAAGGGGGAGGGGGCCAGGGGACGCACCAAAGTGAGAAGAGGCGCCGTGAGCTCTGGGGAGACATCATGGCCCTGGCAGTGACATCCCCCCCTGGTCATCGCACCCCTCCCCAGACCCCCGACGCCACGCAGGTGTCACAAGATGGGCCCCCAGGGCTCTCGACCCATTCACCGGGACGGGCCTCTCGTCCCGAGTCCTCCCTCGGTGGCCCCGAGGCCCGGCAGGGGCCCCCAGGAGGCTGCAGATAGCGAAGGACCTCCCGTCGTGGTTTTTCTCCGGGCCGGTTGAAATGCCAGCCGAGACTGCGTAAAGACCTATCCTACGTGCCAAGGCTCAAAAACCTATGTGTCAAGGCTCAGTCCACCTCGTCGCGAAAAACCTAGGTGCGTTCAAGAAGGGCGTTTTGTTCCTTCTTTTTAGCCCTAAATCCCACCAGCCCTCTGGGCGTCGGTGGTTTAGGACGTTTCCTCGTCCACCCCTCCCTCTTCCCCTTCGGGGAGGGGTTTACCCCTCCCCCTACCCCCTCCCCACTGACCTGGACAGGAGGGGCGGGGAGCGGTCAGAGCGTCCAAAACGGCCTCGGCGAGGAAGCCAAAATCATTGATTTTAGCAGGGTTTGGGCCCCATTTTGGCCTCCTGGGGGGGCAGCGCTAATTAAAGCTCCCTCTTCTTTGATCGATCTCCTCCACGATGGCACGCAAAGGCGCCCAGGATGCCCCAAGAGGCCCAAGATGGCCCCAAGATGGCCCCAAGAGGCCCCCAAGAGGCCCCCAGGAGGCCCCCAAGAGACCCCCAAGAGGCCCCAAGAGACCCCCCAGAGGCACCCAAGGTGCTCCCAGAGGCCTCGGCGATAATGTCAAACCATTGTTTGCACTAAGGTTTTAGCCACATGTTGGCCTCTTGGGGGGGGGGCACTGATTAAGATGACTCCAAGAGCGCCTCGGAGAGCCCAAAATGACCTCCAAGATGGCTCAAGAAATCCCCAGATGTCACATACTGGCGTCCTCTGCGTGCTGTCCACTTCCCTGATCGAGGCAATCCCACCAGCCCTCTGGGCGTCGGTGGTTTAAGGCGTTTCCTCTTCCACCCCTCCCTCTTCCCCTTCGGGGAGGGGTTTACCCCTCCCCCTACCCCCTCCCCGTGGACCTGGACGGGGGGGCCGCGAGCGGTCAGAGCGTCCAAAACGGCCTCGGCGAGGAAGCCAAAATCATTGATTTTAGCAGGGTTTGGGCCCCATTTTGGCCTCCTGGGGGGGCAGCGCTAATTAAAGCTCAGCTCTTCTTTGATAGATCTCCTCCAAGATGGCACAAAGAAGCGCCCAGGAGGCCCCAAGAGGTCCCAAGATGGCCCCAAGATGGCCCCAAGAGGCCCCCAAGAGGCCCCCCGGAGGCCCCCAAGAGACCCCCAAGAGGCCCCAAGAGACCCCCCAGAGGCACCCAAGGTGCTCCCAGAGGCCTCGGCGATAATGTCAAACCATTGTTTGCACTAAGGTTTTAGCCACATGTTGGCCTCTTGGGGGGGGCACTGATTAAGATGACTCCAAGAGCGCCTCGGAGAGCCCAAAATGACCTCCAAGATGGCTCAAGAAATCCCAAGATGTCTCATACTGGCTTCCTCTGTGTGCTGTCCACTTCCCTGATCGAGGCAATCCCACCAGCCCTCTGGGCGTCGGTGGTTTAAGGCGTTTCCTCTTCCACCCCTCCCTCTTTCCCTTCGGGGAGGGGTTTACCCCTCCCCCTACCCCCTCCCCACTGACCTGGACGGGGGGGGCCGCGAGCGGTCAGAGCGTCCAAAACGGCCTCGGCGAGGAAGCCAAAATCATTGATTTTACTGAGATTTGGGCCCCGTTTTGGCCTCCTGGGGGGGCAGCGCTAATTAAAGCTCAGCTTTCTTTGATAGATCTCCTCCAAGATGGCACAAAGAAGCGCCAGGAGGCCCCAAGAGGTCCCAAGATGGCCCCAAGATGGCCCCAAGAGGCCCCCAAGAGGCCCCCAGGAGGCCCCCAAGAGACCCCCAAGAGGCCCCAAGAGACCCCCCAGAGGCACCCAAGGTGCTCCTAGAGGCCTCGGCGATAATGTCAAACCATTGTTTGCACTAAGGTTTTAGCCACATGTTGGCCTCTTGGGGGGGGGGCAGTGATTAAGATGACTCCAAGAGCGCCTCGGAGAGCCCAAAATGACCTCCAAGATGGCTCAAGAAATCCCCAGATGTCACATACTGGCGTCCTCTGCGTGCTGTCCACTTCCCTGATCGAGGCAATCCCACCAGCCCTCTGGGCGTCGGTGGTTTAAGGCGTTTCCTCTTCCACCCCTCCCTCTTCCCCTTCGGGGAGGGGGTTACCCCTCCCCCTACCCCCTCCCCGTGGACCTGGACGGGGGAGGCCGCGAGCGGTCAGAGCGTCCAAAACGGCCTCGGCGAGGAAGCCAAAATCATTGATTTTACTGAGATTTTGGCACCGATTTGGCCTCCTGAGGGGGCAAAGATGGCCCCAAGAAGCGCCCAGGAGGCCCCCAAAGGCCCCAAGATGGCCCCAAGAAGCCCCAAGAGGCCCCCAGGAGGCCCCAAACAGGATCCCGAACGGCCCACAGAGGCCCCCCCGAGGCACCCAAGACGCCGAAAAGCCCCTCAGGACGACCCTCTACTCGCCTGGGCGTCGTTTCTGGACGGGCTGGTGGGGATACGCGAAGCGTTTCCCCACCAGCCCTCTGGGCGTCGGTGGTTTCGGGCGTTTCCTCTTCCACCCCTCCCTCTTCCCCTTCGGGGAGGGGTTTACCCCTCCCCCTACCCCCTCCCCACTGACCTGGACAGGAGGGGCGGGGAGCGGTCAGAGCGTCCAAGATGGCCCAGGACGGCTCCAAGAGGGCCTCAGAGAGCCCAAGATCGCCTCCAAGATGGCTCAAGATAGCGCAAGATGCCTGAAGATGGTTCAGAAGACGCTCCAACACGTTCCAAGACCGCTCCAAGATGGTTCCAAGTGCCCACAAGAGCATCATTAGAGTGCCCTCAAACGGCCGAAATGCTTCAAAACCCTAGGGAAAATTATCCCGGCAAAGCAACCTAACAGCGATGTGTAGGAGCCTATCTGGAAGCATTCCCCTTAAGATTCAGATGAGAATCCAGTTGTAGAATTCTGCTGTTCTCGCAGTCGTAGTCGCATTCGCTATGACAGTCGCAGTGGCAACGGCAGTCGCAGTCACAGCCTCAGCCTCAGCCTGCCTCAGCCTCAGCCTCAGCCTGCCTCAGCCTCAGCCTGCCTCAGCCTCGCCCTCAGCCTGCTTCAGCCTCAACATCAGTCTGCCTTCAGCCTCGGCCTCAGCCTGCCTCAGCCTCACCCTCAGCCTGCTTCAGCCTCGGCCTCAGCCTGCCTCAGCCTCACCCTGCATCAGCCTCAGCCTCAGCCTCAGCCTGCCTCAGCATCAGCCTGCCTCAGCCTCAGCCTCAGCCTGCCTCAGCCTCAGCCTCAGCCTGCTTCAGCCTCAGCCTCACTCTGCCTTCAGCCTCGGCCTCAGCCTCAGCCTGCCTCAGCCTCAGCCTGCATCAGCCTCAGCCTCAGCCTCAGCCTGCCTCAGCATCAGCCTGCCTCAGCCTCAGCCTCAGCCTGCCTCAGCCTCAGCCTCAGCCTGCCTTCAGCCTCAGCCACAGCCTGCCTCAGCATCAGCCTGCCTCAGCCTCAGCCTCAGCCTCAGCCTGCCTCAGCCTCAGCCTCAGCCTGCTTCAGCCACAGCCTGAGTTTGCCTGCAGCCTCGGCCTCAGCCTCAGCCTGCCTCAGCCTCAGCCTGCCTCAGCCTCAGCCTCAGCCTGCTTCAGCCTCAGCCTCAGTCTGCCTTCAGCCTCGGCCTCAGCCTCAGCCTCCTCAGCCTCAGCCTGCATCAGCCTCAGCCTCAGCCTCAGCCTGCCTCAGCATCAGCCTGCCTCAGCCTCAGCCTCAGCCTCAGCCTGCCTCAGCCTCAGCCTCAGCCTGCTTCAGCCTCAGCCTCAGTCTGCCTTCAGCCTCGGCCTCAGCCTCAGCGTGCCTCAGCCTCAGCCTGCATCAGCCTCAGCCTCAGCCTCAGCCTGCCTCAGCCTCAGCCTGCCTCAGCCTCAGCCTCAGCCTGCCTCAGCCTCAGCCTCAGCCTGCTTCAGCCTCAGCCTCAGCCTGCCTTCAGCCTCGGCCTCAGCCTCAGCCTGCCTCAGCCTCACCCTGCCTCAGCCTCAGCCTCAGCCTGCCTCAGCCTCAGCCTGCCTCAGCCTCAGCCTCAGCCTGCTTCAGCCTCAGCATCAGTCTGCCTTCAGCCTCGGCCTCAGCCTCAGCCTGCCTCAGCCTCAGCCTGCATCAGCCTCAGCCTCAGCCTCAGCCTGCCTCAGCATCAGCCTGCATCAGCCTCAGCCTCAGCCTGCCTCAGCCTCAGCCTCAGCCTGCTTCAGCCTCAGCCTCAGTCTGCCTTCAGCCTTGGCCTCAGCCTGCCTCAGCCTCAGCCTGCATCAGCCTCAGCCTCAGCCTCAGCCTGCCTCAGCATCAGCCTGCATCAGCCTCAGCCTCAGCCTGCCTCAGCCTCAGCCTCAGCCTGCTTCAGCCTCAGCCTCAGTCTGCCTTCAGCCTTGGCCTCAGCCTCAGCCTGCCTCAGCCTCAGCCTGCATCAGCCTCAGCCTCAGCCTCAGCCTGCCTCAGCATCAGCCTGCCTCAGCCTCAGCCTCAGCCTGCCTCAGCCTCAGCCTCAGCCTGCTTCAGCCTCAGCCTCAGTCTGCCTTCAGCCTCGACCTCAGCTTCAGTCTGCCTTCAGCCTCAGCCTGCCTCAGCCTCAGCATCAGCCTGCCTCAGCATTCAAAGTGTGGCCCGGGAATGGAGTTCTGGGAACTCGAAGAACACGAAATGGCCTACAGTTGGCTCCGGGCATTCAAAATCATGCCCAGGAATGGAGTTCTGGGAACTCGAACACCACGAAGTGGCCTACAGTTGGCTCCGGGCATTCAAATCATGCCCAGGAATGGAGTTCTGGGAACTCGAAGACCACGAAGTGGCCTACAGTTGGCTCTGGGCATTCAAAATCATGCCCAGGAATGGAGTTCTGGGAACTCGAAGACCACGAAGTGGCCTACAGTTGGCTCCGGGCATTCAAAATGTGGCCCGGGAATGGAGTTCTGGGAGGTCGAAGAGCACGAAGTGTGTGACTGTATGCGAAAAACGATCCCCCCCGGCAAACCCCAACGGCCCCCCAACGGCTCCCCAACGGCTGCCCAGACCCCCCTGTGGAGTAATGTGTTGCTCTCTTTTTATACCACTAGAAACCTATCAGTCTTCGCTGTTAGGTAATCAATGTTTTTGGTGTTCTCGCTGTTCCCCTTCCGAAGCCCATCCGAGGCCTCAAGATGGCGCCACGATGTCCCAACTGGGCCCCAACAGGGGCCCAAGAGAGCCTCAAGACTGCCTCAACAGCGTCCAAGAGCGCTCCAAGAGCGATCCAAGAGGGGTCCAGGAAGCGATTTTAGACAGTCTGGAGGGGCAGCGCTAATTAAAGCTCTGCTCTTCTTTGATAGATTTGCTCCAAGATGCCCTCCAGAGCGCCCCGATGGCGTCTAAAAGGACCCCAGACGCCCAAAACCTGCTTCAAAATAAATTCAATCGAGCGCTCGCGCGGGACGCGAAGCCCAGAATACTGCGAAAACACATGTAAGAGCAACCGAAACGATCAAATGCTTCTCACAGAAATCTGTTATTCTGCCTGCACATCCGTACTCGACGCCTCAATCCCACCAGCCCTCTGGGCGTCGGTGGTTTAGGGCGTTTCCTCGTCCACCCCTCCCTCTTCCCCTTCGGGGAGGGGTTTACCCCTCCCCCTACCCCCTCCCCACTGACCTGGACAGGAGGGGCGGGGAGCGGTCAGAGCGTCCAAAACAGCCTCGGCGAGGAAGCCACAATCATTGTTTTTAGCAGGGTGTTGGCCCCATTTTGGCCTCCTGGGGGGCAGCGCTAATTAAAGCTCAGCTCTTCTTTGATAGACCTCCTCCAAGATGGCACAAAGAAGCGCCCAGGAGGCCCCAAGAGGTCCCAAGATGGCCCCAAGATGGCCCCAAGAGGCCCCCAAGAGGCCCCCAGAAGGCCCCCAACCAAGAAGCCCCCCCCCGAGGCACCCAAGACCCCGAAGAGCCCCCAAGGATCGCCAAGAGACCCCCAAGACGTCCCAAGAGACCCCCAAGAATCGCCCAAGAGATACTCCAAGAGGCTCCTAGAGGCATCCAAGAGACCTCTGGCCCTTGTGCTTGCCCTCCTCCTCCTCCTGTTCCTCCTTCCTGCTCCTACTCCTTCTCTTCCTCCTCCTCCTCCTCCTCCTCCTCCTCCTCCGCCTCCTCCTCATCCTATTCATCCTCCGGCTTCCCACTCCCTCATCCATCCATCCATCCACCTCCTCCTTCTCCTCCTCACTCCTTTGCACGGTTCGGCCGTCCTCCTCTTTGCTGCCGCACTTCCCTGATCACCTCAACTCGCCTGGACATCGTTTCGGGATGGGCTGGTGGGGATAAGCGAAGCGTTTAGAATTCCTAAATTCCTAAATTCTCGGGCTTTTGGATTAGCGAAGAACCTCCCGTCGCGATTTTCTCGGGACCCGAGGGGGTCTGGGCTCTTGGGGTCTAGGCTCTAGAGTGGTTGAAGATAGGGGGAAGTTAGGGGATAGAGTTGTTTAAGATAGGGGGAAGTTAATGTTCAAAAACAAACAAACCTAAAAATTATGAGAGGCTGTCTCCCACAACTTCAACCTAACTTCCACAACTCCTCTTGAACTATCAGAACTTGTTTTGGTCATCTCAGAGGGGGTCAAAAGGGCTACTTGTTCCCCTTTTGACCCCAAATTCCTAAATTCCTTTGTTCGGGCTTTTGGATTAGCGAAGAACCTCCCGTCGCGATTTTCTCCGGACCCGAGGGGATCTGGGCTCTTGGGGTCTGGGCTCTAGAGTGGTTGAAGATAGGGGGAAGTTAGGGGATAGAGTGGTTTAAGATAGGGGGAAGTTAATGTTCAAAAATAAACAAACCAAGAAAAAAATGGAAGGCTGTCTCCCACAACTTCAACCTAACTTCCACAACTTCCCTTGAACTATCAGAACTTGTTTTCGGTCATCTCAGAGGGGGTCAAAAGGGCTACTTTTTCCCTTTTTCGCTATAAATTCCTAAATTCCTTTGTTCGGGCTTTTGGATTAGCGAAGAACCTCCCGTCGCGATTTTCTCCGGACCCGAGGGGGTCTGGGCTCTTGGGGTCTGGGCTCTAGAGTGGTTGAAGATAGGGGGAAGTTAGGGGATAGAGTGGTTTAAGATAGGGGGAAGTTAATGTTCAAAAAGAAACAAACCAAGAACAAAAATGAAAGGCTGTCTCCCACAACTTCAACCTAACTTCCACAACTTCCCTTGAACTATCAGAACTTGTTTTCGGTCATCTCAGAGGGGGTCAAAAGGGCTACTTTTCCCCTTTTTCGCCCTGAATTCCTAAATCCCTTTGTTCGGGCTTTTGGATTAGCGAAGAACCTCCCGTCGCGATTTTCTCCGGACCCGAGGGGGTCCGGGCTCCTGGCCGCCCCCGAGCTGTGCTCGCGGCAGTTCCTCCACCCTCGGGGGTGCCGCCGCGTCGTGGTGCCCTGCGTGGAGCGCCACCCGGCACAGCCCGGCCCACGGGGCCACCTCCGAGGGGCGCGAAAGGGGTGGGACAGCCAAGGGCAGGGGGGAGGAGGAGGAGGAGGAGGAGGGGGAGGAGGAGGAGGAGGAGGAGGAGGAGGAGGAGGAGGAGGAGGAGGAGGAGGAGGAGGAGGAGGAGGAGGAGAGGAGGAGGAGGAGGAGGAGGAGGAGAAGGACCCCCTCCCCCTCCAACTTATGGTGGTGGTGGAGGTGGTGGTGGAAAACAGGCCCAGCTCCGGGGGGCACGAAAGGGTGGGATAGCAAAGGGCAGGGTACGGCAGGTTCGTGCGGCGTCGGCGCGCGCCAAGGTTTTTGACACCGCGTCGAACGTTCAACCTTGAATCGATCGCGGCGCCGATCGTTCAAGGTTGACTTCCGTCGGGTCCAGTGGCGTTACCGTGTCCATCGGCGCTTACGCGTCGCAGAATTCAAGCTTGAACGCCTTCGCCGGCGTCGCCGGCGCGCCAGCGCCGCACGAACCTACCGTAGAGAATCAACTCACGCTGGGAGGCGCCCATGCATCCGAGGAATGGGCCCGGCGGCGAGGCGGAAACCAGCTGCATGCAGCAGATTTCGTAACCCTCTCTTTCCCCATCTTACGGCAGAGGGAAACAATTGGTGGACACTCCCCCCCACCCCCAAGCTCAAAGTGGGCACGCGCGGGGAAGACTGCGGTCGAAGTGCAGCTCATTCAACCCGCCGCCAGCACTGAGTTTTGGGGGAGAATTGACAGATGAATGCGGCATGAATGTCTCGGGAGCGGCCAAGAGGGGGGTGTCCAAGAGGGGGGGGTGCAAATCATGACCGGCGGCACGTGCGCGGCCCAGCGCGGGGGCCAGGGACGTAATGAAACAAGAAGAGGCGCCATGAAATATGGGGAAATAGCATGCCCCCCGCCATGATATCCACCCCCCCCTAGTCATCACCCCCCTCTTCTCCGCCCCCGGTGAACGTTCGCTGATTTCTGCCGAGGCCCGTATCCTTTCGTCCGGCCCGACCACCGCGAGCGGGTGGTGGCCGGGCAGCGCCTCGGAGGCCCGCCGGGCCCGCCAGAGAAGGCGGGCGGCCAGGGCGTCCTCGGGACGCAGCGACAGGCCAGAGGTCCAGTCGGGGCGTTGACCTAAGGAACCCAAAATAAGGAACGAGGCCCCTCTTTTCCATAAGTTAAACTTCGCTTTCCTATCGAAAACAGAAGGAAAACCTGAGGCAAGCTGTGAAACACTTGAGGAACGCGGAGCCCCTCCCCAACGAAAAGGGTTCCTTCTTCAGGGCCCCGATCGGATTTGTTTTTCCGTGCCGCGGTGCTTCCTGGATTTCGGCCTCCGGGGACCGTTATACTGGACCCAGGGACCCTCAAAGACGGATCCCGGGCGCAAAACTGCCCCGTGAGAGGGGGTGGGGGAACAAGATCAGATCGGACAGTGTCAGGGGTTGGACGCAACAACGACGACGACGACGACGACGACGACGACGACGACGACGACGACGACGGGCCCGCCAGAGGAGGCGGGCCGCCAGGGCGTCCTTTGGACGCGACAACGACGACGACGGATCCGCCAGAGGAGGCGGGCCGCCAAGGCGTCCTGTGGGAACCGCGCGTGTATACGCTAAGGTATCTTGGCCATGCCCCAGGAGACGTCGCAGAAACGCCGCAGGACAGCGTGTAGTGCATCATTCTCCGGCCGGATCTCCAGGCGACAGGTGTTGGAATATATATATATACACACACACACACCTGTACAACCACTCTTCGGGAAATAAGGAGGTTGTGTGGGGGGGATCACCTGACGACAACTGCGATGATTGTGATGGTGTCGATGCTGGTGATGCGCTTGCGAGCTGGTGACGATGCATCATGACGATGCTGGTGACGATGCATTATGGCGATTGTGATGATGCCGATGCATGGTGACGATGTTGGTGATGAGAAGGGTATCGCAAACGGACAGCACGCAGCAGTAGTAGTGCATCATGCAACCTCGGCTGGCAGAGCATGGCGAATCGGCGGTCGCAAATTAATCACACCATCGAAACACCATCGGGACACCATCGGGACACCATCGGGACACCATCCAGGCACCATCGGGACTTCATCGGAACACCATCTGGACACCGCCATGAAAATCGGCTCATCGATCTCACCATTGATCTCACCAGCGGTCACACTATCGATCCCACTATCTATCTTTCGATCTCACGATCGATCGGTCTCACAGTCCATCGATCTCAATATCAATGTTTATCGATCGATCTCACGGGACAACCATCGGGGCACCATGAGGACACCATCGGCAGACACCATCTGGACACCGGCGAGACACCATCGGAACACCACCGAGACACCATCGGGACGCTCCCAGGCCACCACCAGCCAACCTGGGGGGGGGAGCAACAGTTGGTCCGGTTTCGCTCTAGCAACGGCGGGTTCATTCCGCTCGCCCGCCCACGCAGCGACGCCTCGCCCGCCCGCACGCACGACACGAAACCGAAACCGATTTCCCGGTGGGGGGTCTCTGATTCCCTTCGATCTCGCTCCGCAACCTCCGATACGCGGTGTTTGGGCCTCAATTTGCCAGGAAGTGGCGGACAAACATAACACTGCATACAGTCGAACCAAGGTCACAAGAACGTGGATCGGGAACATGGGCCCCTCCGCCGAGAGCCCAAGGCCCCATGGAGATACCGAACACATACTCCGGATTCCATAACAAAGTGGGGGGGTCACATTCGGGGGGGAGTCTAATTTGAGCTGTCTTGGAGGATTCTGGGGGGTCTGGGCAAAGGGCCGCCCTTTGATGGATAGTCTGGGGGGTCTAAAACTTCTCGTCTGGGAGGGTTGTGACCCCCTCCCTTTTATTACGAAATCTGGAGTAATGCATTCCAAGGTGGTGGGCCCGACAGCGAAGAACCTAAAGGGTTCTCAACCCTCGTGCCAGTCTAGGGGAACAAAAGAGTGGCATACACAGAACAACTCGGAGGTCCGCGCGGATTTCTCGGATCGGCGCTGGGGCCCCCTCCCTGGCGCGCGGGGCGCGCCAGGGGCGGCGCCAGAGGCGCCGCAGGGGGGTCCCCAGCGCCGATCCGAGCAATCCGCGCGGACCTCCGAGTTGTTATGTTTATGTCGCTTCTTGTTCCCCTAAACTGGCACGAGGGTTACGAACCCTGGACATGTTCCCCTAAACTGGCACGAGGGTTAAGAACCCTCGTGCCAGTTGCAGTGGACGTGTTCCTGGCCCCCGATCCTTTTTTTTGTTGTTCGGTCCCGCGGCCGCACGGACATTGCATTGTACCCCTTATACGGTGGCCCAAACGGCCATGCGCATAAATCTAACACCATGCAGTAAGGAGGGTGAAGAGGAGGGGGCGGAGAAGAGACCCAGAGATCCGACGTCGTGATTTTTTCAATACGGGGTCCCCGGAGGTCTCGACCCATTCCCCAGGACTGGTTTTTCATCCTGAGTCGTTTTTTGACGGTCCCGGGGCCCGGCGAGGGCCTCCAGAGGTCGAAAATTATGAAAAGCCTGCGTCTTGATTTTTGAAATGCGTTGGATCTCTGGGGACGAGAGAGGAGGAGAGAAGCGGGGAGGCAGGCGGACGGGACCTGCCCGAGGACGGGAGCGGGGAGGCAGGGAGCTGTTCCGGGCCCCCGATCCTGGTGCACGGCGGTGCAGAGCGAGGCGACCTCCCGGCGGCGAGCCCAGCCCCGACAGCCGGCGCCTCGAACTGAAGGGGCCCTGGGACACACAAATAAATAGACACAAATAAAAGGATCCCCCATATTTTCTCATATTTCCTGGGTTTTTGTCTTCCCCCCCAATTCCCATATTTTCCCATATTTTCCTGGGAGTCGACGATTAATTGTGTCTGTGTGTTTTTTTCCCTCCTGACGAACGAGAGCAGTACTGCGGATATTCCTGCTCGGCGGGCTCGGCCTCCCGGGGGGGCCCCGCCGGGCCTCGGGGCCGTCCATCAAAGGACACGAGATGAGAGCCCGGTCCCGAGGAGGTGGTCGAGAGGTCGGGGGCCAGGGCCTCGACAAAGCCGAGGCGCCGGAGGTCTGAGGGGGCGAATGCAGAGGGGGCGGACCTCCTCAGAAGGCTCGGAAGGCCTCTGGCCTTCTGAGAGGTGAGCGGCGACAAACCAACGGGTCTTGCGCGATATGACGTGGCGACTTCACGCGGTGGCTTGCGCGGGCTGCCGGCGCGGCACGCCACACTGAAAGCGAGGGCGCTCACGCGCGACATGACGCGGGCCAGCGTCGGCGCAGTGGAGCCCGTTTTTCTTCGTCGCTCCAGCGTGCGCTGAGCCTTTCCCGGAGCCACGGAGGGCTTCTCGGAAGGCCGGAGGGCTGCCGAGAAGCCCCGCCGCCTCCCGAGGAGGCCCGCCCCCCTCGCGCTCCCCCCCCCTGGGCGCGCCGCCGCACCTCGCAGCAGAAGAAGACGGCCACGTCGGGCGGCAGGCGGCCGAATTCCTGGGCGAACGAAGAGAGACGCTGACGCCCCAGAGCTCCGACACGCTACGCCTTTCCCCGCCGTCCTGTGGCGTTGGGTCCTCGTTTTGAAGAGGGGCGGTCCCCGCGCTCCTTTCCTCGTCTCCTCCTCCTCCCCCCCCTCCCCTTCCCTCCTCCTCCACCCCCTCCCCTCCCTCCTCCTCCTCCTTCCATGCGTTTCGCCCACCCAGCACAGCGTTTCGTGGCCCCACATGGAGAGCTCCACCGAAGCCCTCAGTGGGACCGCCCGCACGCGTCCCCCACGCCAAATTTGCCATTTTCACCCACCCAGTATAGCGCTTCGTGGCCCCATAGGGAGCTCCACCGAAGCCCCCAGTGGTACCGCCCACATGCGTCCCCCACGCCCAATTTGCCATTTTCACCCACTCCACCGAAGCCCCCAGTGGTACCGCCTCCATGCGTCCCCCACACCCAATTTGCCATTTTCGCCCACCTTTTACAACGCTTCGCGGCCCCATGGAGAGCTCCACCGAAGCCCCCAATGGGACCGCCCGCATGCGTCCCACACGCCTAATTTGGTATTTTCACCCACCATGTGCAGCGCTTCGTGGCCTCATAGGGACCTTCACCGACGGCCCCAGTGCTACCGCCCGCATGCGTTCCCCCCCCGCCCAGCGCAGCGTTTCGTGGCCCCATAAGGAGCTTCACCGAAGAAGATCTTGACAATTGCGGTACCCACAACTTCATATGGTTGGGTCCTTCGCCAGGATAATTTGTTCCATCCGCGGCCCCAGGCCCCTGGCGCTGCCCTGGGGGTTACATGCTCGCCCCCGGCCAGGTTCGACTGCCCCTGAGCCCGCAAGCGGCCCCCGGGGGCGAACGAAGAGAGACATCGACACCCGCAGGTAGCTGCATGCGAGCTCTACCCCCGCAGGTCAGATTTCTGCAACGCGGGCCAGGGCTCGGAAATCGAAGGGTGCTCGCAGCCAGGTGAACCCCAGCAGAAGAAGAATAATAATAATAATAAGAAGAAGAAGAAGAATGAGCCGAGCGTCCAGCAGAACGCGTAGGCAGAAGAGTGCGCAATTGGCAGCTCTCCGGAAGATGTTATACGGGAGACGGCGCGAACACTCGACTGTGAAGCAACAGCTACACGAGAAGAAACGCGGCGCCCCACGCCTGCGAAGCACAAAACGAAGCGCCCGACTGCGAAGCAGAAAGTGAACCCCAGCAGGGGTGTCCGATGCCCCAGCGCCGATGGCACCCGCAGGGGCAGGATTCGCACTCGGTCGCAGAGCCCCGGACCTCCGAAGACCTGCTTTGTGTCGGCCGTCTTCGTCATCGTTGTCGTCGCCTTCGTCGTCGTCGTCGTCGTCGTCGTCGTCGTCGTCGTCGTCGTCGTCGTCGTCGTCGTCGTCGTCGTCGTCGTCGGCGTCGTCGGCGTCGTCGTCGTCGTCGTCGGCGTGTTTTCCTGGACTTCCGCCCTCCGGCCCCGGGGCCATCAGGCACGGATCTCCGAGGCGAGGAGCCGGCCCTGGGGAAGCGGCGCCGAGGCCTCCTCTGGGGCGCCGCGGGTCTGGCAGAAGAGCCGGGCGCGGGGCCCCGCCGGATGCGGCTGGGAGTGCCGCGCTGTGGGTGCCGCGGTCGGAGGAGCTCCCTAGGGGAAGAAGCCGTGTGCCGCAATGGGCGGGGGCGAGACGCGTGCGGCCGCGGTCGCTGGGGTCTTCGGGGGAGCTCCCCAGGGGGCCACGAGACGCCGGGCTGGGGTTGGGGAACGCATGGGGCCGCGGCGACTGGGGCCTTCGGTGGAGTTCCCTGCGGGGCCACGAAGCGCTGTGCTTGGAGGGGGAAACACATGCTGACGCCGCCTCTGGCGCCTTCGGTGGAGCTTCCCAGGGGGTCACGAAACGGTTTACCGGACAGGGTACACGTATGCGAACGTCGCCTCTGGGGCTTTCGGTGGAGCTCCCCATGGGGCCACGAAACGTTGTACTGGGAGGGGGAAACGCTTGTGGGCGTCAGCCCTGGCGCCTTCGGTGGAGCGCCCTACGGGGCCACGAAACGCTGCACTGGGCGGGAGAAACGCATGCGAACGTCGCCTCTGGGGCCTTCGGTGGAGCTCCTTATGGGCCACGAAACTGTTTACTGGGTGAAGCAAACGCATGCGAGCGTCGCCTCTGAAGCCTTCGGTGGGCCCCCCGCATGGGGCCACGAAACGGTGTGTTGGGTGGGGAAAACGCTTGCGAACGTCGCCTCCTGGGCATTCGGTGCCACGAAACGCTTTACTGGGTGGGGGAAACGCATGCGGACGTCGCCTCTGGCGCCTTCGGTGGAGCTCCCTTGGGGGCCACGAAACTGTTTACGGGCGGGGAACGCATGCGAACGTCGCCTCTGGGGCCTTCGATTTGGCTCCCCATTGGGCCACGAAGCGTGCGAGGGGCGTGCCGAAATGGAGGCGTTGACGTCATGCGAACCCTGCCGCTGGGGCCTTCGGTGGAGCTCCCTATGGGGCCACGAAACGTGTGAGGGGTGTGCCAGATCGGATGCGGGTACGCCAGG